ATGCCGAGCAGCCGGGAGCTATGAGCTTACTAGGAGCAGTGTCGCAAGCGGCAGCGTGCATGAACGCAAGCAATATGACAGTGCAGCAGTACCAAGCACGACTACACGAGCACGACCAAGCAGCCCTCAAGCACAGTAGTAACCTACATAAAGGCGAACAAGGAGAGTCTAGTCTACAAAAGGCCGTAGCTGCTACACTATCTCTTTCTATAGGTCAAATCCAGCAGAGCAACACTATTGCTGTAGAGCAGCTTTACTTTGCTGCGTGCGTAGAACGAAAGGACATTCTGCTCGATCTATTCAAGACAGCTTCGCCGCAGGCCTGTGTAGATGCGATTACGACACTTGACAGATATGCGCTCATTACAAGGCGACCTGCTGAATCAGCATTTGACGTACATCGATTGGTGCACCAAGCCTTACGAGAGCAGCTCCAGGTGCGGGGACGGCTTCATGAATACACTCAACGCACAGTCACACAGCTACTCCAGGTGTTTCCGAACAACGATCACAGTAACAGAAGCAAATGGAGGCGACTGCTGCCACACGCTCAATACACACTGTCGCATAGTGAGAAGAACGACGACGAGGAGAGAACAAATCTCATAGAAGATTGCGCTCATGCTCTACAGAGTGATGGACAATATAAGAGAGCTAAAGAGCTCTATGTGCAAGTAATGGAGTCGAGGACGAGGGTACTGGGTAGCAAGCACCCTGACACTCTTAATAGTGTCAGCAACCTTGGGTTGGTGCTGTCGAGCCAGGGCAAGTATAACGAAGCAGAAGTGGTGCAGCGTCAGGCATTAGAAGGGTTCGAGGACATGCTTGGGCGGGAACACCCCTACACCCTCGCCAGCGTCGGCAACCTTGGGTTATTGTTGTTGAGTCAGGGCAAATACGAAGAGGCAGAAACGACACATCGACGAGCACTAGAAGCAAGGGAGAAGGTGCTTGGCCGTGAGCACCCCCATACACTCAATAGCATTAATAGCCTTGGGTCAGCACTATCGAGCCAGGGCAAGTACGAGGAGGCAGAAACGACATATAGACGAGTGATAGAAGCAAGAGAGAAAATCCTTGGCCGTGAGCACCCCCATACACTCAATAGCATTAGTAGCCTTGGGTCAGCACTATCGAGCCAGGGCAAGTACGAGGAGGCTGAAGCGATGCATCAACGAGCGCTAGAAGCAAGAGAGAAGATACTTGGTCGTGAACACCCTGACACGCTTAATAGCGTTAGAAACCTTGGGTCATTACTATCGAGCCAAGGTAAGTACGATGAGGCAGAAGTAATGCATCGACGAGCGCTAGAAGTCAGAGAGAAAGTACTTGGGCGCGAGCACCCCGATACCCTTGCTAGTACCAATGATCTTGGGGTTGTTCTAGAGAGTAAGAACAGATATAAAGACGCAGAAATAATGCATCGGCGAGCGCTAGAAGGGTATGAGAAGGTACTGGGGCGCGAGCACCCCTTTACGCTTATTAGCCTTGGCAATCTTAGGTCGGTGCTGGAAGTCCAGAACAAGTACGAGGCAGAAGCGATACATGAATGAGATCTAGAAGAAAAGGTGTCCCGTCACACACCGTGTGTCCCGGTACGGAGGGACGGGCGTTATTATACGTATTTACATCTATTCTAACCCAACACACACACACCTATCTTTTACACAAACACTATTCATGTATCACAGATACATACACACACACACACACATACACACACACCCATCTAGTCGTCCATCGTAGGCAAGCCATTTTCTCTCACATACTCCTTAATCTGCTCGAAATTCCTGCAAACATGTGCAGTGTTGTAGTCTGGCTCGTCGCCCGCGACGCCTTCCTTGCGGCGAAGCGGAAACACGTTGACATCGGCGAAACACATGAGGTTTACGCGGAGGGTTTCTATGCAGTGATCTATATCATGTTTTCTGTTAGTTGACTGTTCCTCTTTTTTTGTTTGTTTACATTTTGGCACAAAGAAAAGAGGGTGAGAAATAATAATAATAAAAAGACGTACCCAAGTGCGTCCTAACTTGCTCGGCGGGACGGTTTGTATCGCTCCATGACACCTTTGTGTAGTGCTCGGGATACGTTGCCATGCGCAGCAGGTTTAGGCAGTGGAGCTGGTGGAACACCTCCACCCCCACACGATACCCTGTTTCGCCTGTTTTGGGGTCGGTGGCTTCGATGGCGTCGGTGGTGGGCTTGTGGAGTCTGGAGTAGTCGGCCTTGGAGACCAGTTGGTCGGGGACTATTTATTAGATGTTAGAGGTGGGGAAAGGCTGATTGGGTCATGGTTGAAGAGGAAGAATTACGGAATGCAAGTTCGACCCATGCGTCGTCGACGTCATCGGTGATTCCGACGTATTTTGACGAGTTGACAGGCGAGGCAAAGTTGAATTGCGTGCGGGAGTATTCGACCTTGTGCATGAGGGGTGCTTTTGGAGGATATGTTAGTTGCCTTGATATTTGAAAAAAAAAAGAAGCGAAGTGTCTATCGTACAGAAAACATCGAATTGATTCATGAGTTGGGCGGCTGTGTTGCCGGTGGGATCCCGTTGTGACATGACTGTGCACACCATTGAGAGCATGGATATGACAAAAATGAAGAGGTTGAAGAGTGTGAGCCACACAAAGTTTTGGCGCCTTTGTGATGTCTCATCGTGGAGAGACTCCGAGGCTATGAGAGTTGCGCTTTCAGAATCGACATCTTGTGAGTGGGTATCTGCGTATTTTTCCATGGTGAATAGATTGCTGTGTAGGTAGTGGAAGTGACGAATCAGGCAGAAAATAATAAAAATTCCAAAAAGAAAGAAAATTAGTCGACCTGCGATAGAAGGGAAGTGCCTGCTCAGCAGTGTGACAAAGGACAAAATCAAGTGTAACGGGTGTTTGCGAAAAGAAAGGGAGTCGGCGGGACTCTACGGAATACTTTACACAGCTATTCTCGGCTACAATTCCTCCCAATGCTCAATGTATCACTAGTCAGAGGTATAAAACGCGGGGGACATGGAACAGCTCCGCTGCGTTGCTCCACCTATTGGATCTCGACAGCCTACTACCAGACGCCGTCTTCTGGAGCGGGCAACGATACTAAGCCTTGCACGGCGCGTCGAGGGCATTGTCAAACCGTAGGCTAAGCTTTTGGGCGCATGGTAAAACAGCAATCAAGCTTTTTCCAAGCATTGTGAGACAAGCAACGCGGAGGCGTCTCAGCCACTTAATTGGCCGAGCCGTGTCTCGGTGTCCCACACGGACGCTTGGCCAAGAGTGAATGTTCATAACCACACCAGCGTTTCAGACTTGGCGCCGCTAGGCAAAACATGTGCTTGCCCGTTCGACTTTGACACGCACTTGGAACAACCGCAGTGCTGGTATTCCCGCGTGGCCTACCACCTTGCTCCCGCCACCACCGCCATTACACCGCCTCGCCGAATAATCCCCTTGGGGCAAAATGCCGCACAGCGTCGCACGCGCTGCCACTGTTAGATTGACAGAAGCGACAGGGCATGAGTCTGGCCTTCCACCACCGTTAGCCCTAGCACCTGTCACGCCGGCGTGCCGAAACTTCCGTGATTGGCTCGCAACATTGGAAGGTTGGAAAAAGGCTAGATTGTACTATCAATCTAGCATGGATTTGGTTCCAATCGCCTCGTGTGCTTGGTATGCCATCTAAGCTTTGGCAATGCTTGAGCCACTTGTCAGTGGCGTCAGTGGTGGACAGGAAAACCCGTCACGAGCCGTCGTGTTTGACTACCCCCTATCTGACCTGCACAATACCATGTCACCTTGATGAACTGTAGATTGGAGGAGCCACCACCGGCTTGTCCGGATCTATCGTCAAGCAATGCAGGCCTGTCTCATGGGCTGGACACGCACACGCACGTCTGTCAAAGCCTGTCTAACCCGCAAAGCCATTGTGGACTTTTTTTCTATAAAACCATCCCCATCTTGCTGAGGAAAAGGGCATCAACGTTGAACGTGCTCATTCCTTCTCATTCATCACTTGTTCTATTCCAACGCCTTCTCTTCGTCTCTGCAGGCAGATCCTCTCTTTTCAATTTTCCTCCAACCACAGTCAGACACAGACAACTTTCTATCTTTTCAACATGAGATTCTCTACCATCACTCTTTTGGCCCTTGGTGCCACTGCTTCAGCTTATGTTGTACCGAACCGACAAGTTGTTGATAATGCTGTCAAGCCACGCATGCCAGTATGTGGCAGTCATCCTTTGTACAATGCAACACTGACTAACAATTCTACAGGAAAATGAAGCCATTCAGGCATCCAACCTTGTAGCTGCTCTGTCAGCTCGTGACCTTGAAGCCCGCCACCACCAGGGCGGCAAGGGCAAGGGCAAGGGCAAGGACAAGGGCAAGAAGAAGAACGCCCGTGACGTCGAGTCTGAGCTCGAGGGCATCGTAGCCCGTGACGTCGAGTCCGAGCTCGAGAACATCGTAACCCGCACCCCTGAGCCTAAGAAGGGCAAGAAGAAGGGCAAGGGCAAGGGCAAGGGCAAGAAGGGCAAGGGCAAGA